AATTATAAAGATAAAGGCTTCTGAATAACTATTTGGTTAGTAGTATTATTCTATAGTAATGGTGCTTTCAGTTACTTAAATTCCAGTCCTATCCAAAAGTAAGTTCTACTGAGTTCAATAAGAGTATGTTCAGAATTACAGCCTTAGACCCAAACCACCAAATTTAAAAACCATTGGCATGTTTTCCCCCCCTCACAGGCTACTCTTACTTGTGTGGTAAGAAAGGCATTTCCCAAGCCAAACATACTGTGGTACATGGATAGAAAGATTCTGAAGGACAACTTTGAAGGTAATGCAATTTTTTTCTAAAATGGCACTAAAAACAACCCTTTTAACCTTATCTGACCCTAAGATCCAAGCAGAGCACTTTACACTGGGTGCTAGAGTTTAGTAATGGCTGTTTTATTTAGCTCAGACATTTTTTAATGCTGAAAGCGCTGAGGGGAAAAAGTGACACAAGAATCACAACCAGTCTAAGTTAAGAATATCATATATTTGATATTGCTTTCATTTTCAGGGCAGCCTTTTCACAGTTAACTGATAGAAAACAATAGAGAAGAGAGATCTTTTTTTCTGTCTCATTTCAAAGGAACGTTTCTTGAAATTCAAGATATAAAGGATGAAGAAGGTTTTCATGAGACGAGATCACTGTTGACAATATTGGATACATTTCAGCCACCCATTCCTCAGATTTTCAGATGCATGGCCATCTACCCTTTCCCAGAAAATGAACTGCGGAATGTTTCATCTGAAGAAATACGTCTTTCTTTGGGTGAGTAAGATTAACATCAACCATCCGAAATCCAAAGTGTGCAATCATGCACAAGAACTCAGTTTAACTGAATATACTTTGAAAGTATAAATTCCACCTGAAAAACAAAACTTCCTAAGTATTCCATGAACCACTGTATACAGGTTTTCAAAGGTAAGAACTCAGTTATGCTGAGGAAAAAGTCAATGGTGCTCATATGTATTCAGCTCTAATGCACATTCAAAAGGTTATATGTTTCTTTTCCATCTTTAATCCTTGTCGGTTCTGTACAACTAAACTTACTCCCAGGGAAGCATTCCTAGGATTGCGCTGTTTGTCTCTTAGATTTTTATTCCTATTTGTTTCGTATTTTCTTAAGACAGAAATTATTTAGAGAAAATACCATAATTGTGTATTTCTGTAGTATCTTGGTCAACAGAGTATTTTTCTGAATTATTTCCATTGGGTGAAATTACTTTTTCTGGGTGTCAGCAAAAGGTGTTGGCAAAAGGTTGATCTGTCTTTTCTTTCCCAAGCAAGCATTTGTGAAAATTGAAAAGGTGATGCTAGGAACATAGTACTTTTGTCCTTAGTTACTGGATACTTTACTACATTTCAGGCCATGATTATTTCAACAGGGTTTCAGACTACTTCTTTGGCAGCTCCAGAAATCATTAGTCAAGTCACTCCCGTTTCACGTTCATCCAGAGAAGGTAGGCTTCTACTTAGGAATGTATACTTAATATTTTCTGTGCTTTTCTCAAGAACAGGAAAAAAATAACATAAATGGCAATTTTGAGAGACAATTTATTGGTGATAAAGTATTCTGGCAGCTCCCATGGCCATTTGTTTTCTTCCCATATTGTTCCCTTCCATGAATACAGAACCAGAAAGTTATTAAAACTTTACACCGTGTTTCCAAACCCCCCAAAATACACCTGGCAAAGCTAACTGAAAAAAGGATTCCTAGTGTGTTTTGAGTTTCTTCAGTGGAGGACACTGCAAACATTAATAATATATGATTGTGTATGCAAATAATAAATATATGTGCATGTATGTTTTTAAAGCACTATTAATCACGGGCCATAAAGTCATAAAATGCTAATCATATAATATTGTGATTAACTATTTGCTCCATCCTCAGCACCTGCAGTGCTAGACTGGTGCAGTAGGAGAGAATCCAAGTACATATGCTGCTCCTGGAGACAAGCTTCCAAAATATGTGGGGTACAGAAATTTTAAATTTGCCAATCTCATTTCTGGCCCTTGCACCAGATCAGGGATGTCCTGTTTTTGCATCAGATAGCTGCCATGCTAGCTGTTGGAACATGCTCAGAACTTGATTATTTTAACTCCTTCCTGCTTCCCCTGAGCTGAAACTGACTTGATATATTTTTGTGGTACTGTAATTTACAAGACAATGTCCCAGCGCCACCTTCAGGCCAACAATCTAATTGTTGGCTATGGGGACTGGCAGGGAAGGGGAAGAGGAAATACAAGAGAGGGCAAAAAGAGATGCCTTGTTCCCTTGTGGGTGTCCTGCTTGTATATTTTCTAAAAATGATACTGAAGAAACACATAAAGACAACAGCAAGAATGTGAGGCTATCATAGCAAAATGGTACAGTCGAAAGGGAACGCAATTGAAGAGGACATGTCCAATGCTCCCTCTATGCTGTTGAGACTTGCGAGCAAAAATTTTACTTTGTGAGCTACTGGTATTCAAGTTATGAGTGAGCGATTTGGCTACTGCATAAATCAGTTTGCTCTGGAGCCATCCTTCTTGAGCTAAGATGAAAATGTGTGAGCCAGAGTCTAAAAAACTGTGAGCTGGCTAACACTAACTCAGCTTAGAGGGAACACTGGACGTGTCAATAGTCCCTGAATAGATCTCTCCCAGGAGTCACTGCACACATGTGAAATTACACTCAGAACTGCAGATGGAGCTCAGAGTCAGCTGTTTGCTGAACATTTGTTTTGAGCTAGCTCAGATTTCCCTGTAGGACAGACACAGCATATCATAATGATGGGGCATAATACATTTGACAAAGGAGACTAGTCTGCCTGTTACCGCTTTAAAAAACAGATTCAGCTAGCCCTGCCTTGTTTTCTTCCCGTGTATTTCTCTTTAGGTGTTATTGCCAAACATATTGATTCTAAAGCTCCTTCATATTTATCAAAAAATGAACAATGCCTCCAGGGAAATCCCAAAATGCTACCTGGGCTTGTTTGGCTTTGTTTAAAGATGCATCTGAAAATAAGCCCTGCTTATTATTATTATTTTTTAAAGGCTTATCTACTACTGTGCATTTATGCCAATAAAATAGTGATCAGTAGTGATTGATTGGGGGGGGGAGAGAGGGAGAGGGAGATGCTGAAAATAGAGTTGTGGATATTGATGACTTATGCTGAGAGTAGGGTTACCAACCTCCAGGTGGGGCCAGGGGTTTTCCTAAAATCACAAAAGATCTCTGGATTACAGAGATAAGTTCCCGTGGAGGAAATGGCAGCTTCAGTTGGACTCTGTGGCATCACATTCCCTCTGAGCTCCCTCGCATCCCCAAACTCCACCGTCTCCAGGCGCTGCCCACAAATCTCCAAGAATTTCCCAAGACAGAGTTGGAACCCTAGCTGGAAACTGGTGTAGCACAGTGGCTAAGAGAAGGAGCTGTGATCTGGAATGTTTTCCATTTAGTAGAGAAACCTCCAAGTGGCCTTAGGTAGACCTGAGCAAGGCTCTTAATAGGGTTGCCAGGAAATTCCTGGACATTTGGGGGGTGGAGTCTGGGGAGAACAGGGTTTGGGAGGGGAGGCGCTTCAGCAGCATATCATCCTCTAGGGTTCGCCTTCCAAAGCAGCCATTTTCTCCAGGGAAACTGATCTCTGTAATCCCAGGAGATCTCCACCCACCACCTGGATGTTGACAACCCTAGCTCGTAATGACAGGACACTTTTGGAGGTCACTAATTCATAGTGTTGCTATAAGTTGGAAGCAACCAGATGGCACTTAACACATGCACGTCTTTACAGGGATCTTCTTGTATTTATATGTTTGCTCATTCACATGTAAAGACACTGCAGACTATTTTAAATGAAAAATGGAATTACAGGGAATCAAAAAAATGGAGGTGGAAGGAAATAGAGCCTGTCCCCTACCAAACCGTATCTCCATTGCACATTATGCACTGAAGCACCAAAAATAAATAGAATAACAAGAATGAACATACACAATAAACACAGTAACAAAAAAAGAATAAGTAAAACTAAAACAAAGAGAAACTGAAAAGAAACAAAATGTCTGCATATATCCCTAGAATATAGCCAGTTATTTCATTTAGGAGCAAAGGGGTCTGTTTGATTGAGACCATTCATTCTGGCTTATCTACAGTAAATTGTAAGCATGCCCCAAGCCCCACATACATGCAGAAGACGAGAGACATACATAGAGAAAAACACGAGTGACATCTTCCTTATTCCATCCAGTAGCTACTGTTCAACAGGTAGGTTGAATCCTGCCAGCATTTTAGCTCAGTCTCATCCAGTTCTTATTATTACAACCCACATCCCAAATGGCTTTTGTCCATGTAGGTCCCATGATCCCTAGAGTGACCTTTTTAGTGATCAAAGGGAACTCCCTCATCCTTTTTCCACCAGTGGAAAAGATGGCTGGATCCAAGCCTGTGTGTGCAGAATTTCTCCAATAGTTTTTATTTGAATAGTGCAGTGCATTTGCTTAGATGCTCTGTGTGTATCCTGGAGCTCTGAATCATTAGTTGCCCAGTGGTCTTGTTATGCATGCTATCTAACAAATCCCTTGCCTGGGAAGAAACACTTGAATTAATGAAGCAGTAATTTCCCTTTGACTGCAAAAGTTTTCCATTCAGTTTTACTTAGTGAGACAGCTGTTCAGTGCTTAGCTTCCAGAGGAGCATCCTTTGTGTGTTGTACCAAGAGACACTTTGATACTGAATATTAATCACTGTATATCTCATCTTCTCAAGCACACAGCCATTGTCAGATGACTGAGTTCTGCTCTTCCCCAAACTAGATAGGTGTCAAGGATGATTGACCTATTTCCATAGAATGTCTGAAATAGGGCCTTTGAATCAATATTGAAGGGTTTTTTTAATTCTGAGCTTGGACATCTGACAAAGAACTAGCTACAGTTTTGAAATATTTGACATTTCACTTCCATTCGTTTTAAATTGATGAGTAAGTGAAGAATTGGAAATAGATTTCATAAAGGAAATATGTCATCTTGCTCCTTCAAAACATGGACTCGCTTAACTTTGGGCTAAAGAAGTATTGAGAAAGAAGAGGCCAAGGAGTGAGAAGTTGTGAAAAGACTAGAAAGCAAATGGGGAAGGGGGGTGTCAGATGGCAGATGAGGCAGTGAAGGCATGGCAACAAGACCAGAGGAAGTTTTAAGGAAGCGGGGGGGGGGCGCTAAGGGTTTATAACAGGAAATGTTACATTGAGGCAAAGCCAGCTAGGAACAAGGAGGGGGAAGTGGGACTGACAGTTGCCTGACAGGGGAGGGGCTTACCACAGATGGATTCTCGGAGTTCCATGTTTGGAGCTCCCAGTGATATTTTAAACAACTTTCAGGCATGCAAGGGACCAATTCAGATTGGGTCCACAGCATATGAGGAAAGAGTTTTAATACTTTCCATATCACATGCCAGGACCTGAAATGAGCTGCTACTAGTTCTGTTTGGCAAAACTTGCAGGTGCATGTAACTTTAGCCTAGTAGGGTAAATACAACTTCTTGGGGGAGTTTCAGGTCAAGAAAATGCCCCCTTCTCAAACCGTGGTCCTGATCAGTTTAAAATTCAGTTTAAAAAATTGTTGGGAGCTCTGAATACAGAACTCCCAGCACATATCTGGTAAAACTCTCAGCTACAGTCTTCACTGATGAAACCAGGGCTGCCTGTCTTCCAGTCTTCTGTTCCACGCTTTAGTGTTTAAATTGTTTATTTTGTCACATTGCTTGTCTTATAAAGTTTGCAGCTTTCTAAATC